TGTCAAATCAAAAAGTGAACGAGTGAGACACATGATGCTGGGCTGATGTTGTGGTGTTCACTGTGACATTCGCTGCGCCAACTAGCGGTGGGGTATCTGAAGCTGGCTCGTAACCAGAATTTTAGCTCGCAACTCAAAGCAAAAAATCGGCCGAGAGACAGCTCGTATCTCGAAAAACTTGTTATTCGGGACACTCGTAAGTCAAGGTCCACTGTATGTATTTATGTATGTGTGTGTGTGTGTGTATATATATATATATGGAAAAAATGGTATATACAGGGTTCAGTACTATCCACAGTATCAGGCAACTATTTGGGGTCATGGACCGTATGCCCCATGGATAAGGGGGTATACTGTAGTGTTGAAACTGGGGTAAAACTTGTGAACCGGTGGAACAAAGCCACAGCCATCCCTATCCTTGGTTCCCCTTGAAACATTTGCTCAATAGTTGCTTTAGTCTGTCCTCTGTTTAATAAAAATAATTGTTTCTTGTGATTTTTCGGCAAAATATCACTTATACCCTAAATCCTCTCCAGGATGTAATCCTGTAGATTCCAGCCCACCTCTCCCATTTAGTGGTGGCCTGCAACAAGTAATTGCCAGCTTGTATCATCATGGATACAAGTCACTTCTCTCTCTACCTCTGCCCCTTCATCTGTAAAACCGGGATAAAAAAAGAATACTTACTACTTAGGGCTGATCTGAGGATTTAATGATGTAATATGTGTGTAATTAATGTATGGGTAATGTGCTTAGAACAATAACTGGCACATAGTAAGCACTATGTAAATCAGGCATGGGGAAACCTTTTCTGTCAAGGGCCATTTGGATATTTATAACGTCATTCATGGGCCATACAAAATTATCAGCTTAAAAATTAGTCTGCTATATTTGGTCAAACATTTAATTAACTCACCCCTAACACCTTGGCAGGGCCAGACCAAATGATTTTGTGTGCCGGACGTTCCCCACCCCTGATGTAAATGTTAGGTGTTATTATTTATATGTAGAATGGCTGTGCAAATGTTAACTACCTTAGGAATCATTTTCATTAAATGCCACTTACCAGTGGCTGCAGAATGTCTCATGAGCCAAGGGTCATTTATATACTCTCTTGTCTATACCCACACAAATTTTCTGAGATATTCACAGGTATTTTATTTTTCTGGTGTGTTCTTGTCTTCATGCATGTGTGTGTGTGTGTGTGTGTGTGTGTGTGTGTTTTCCTGAATATCATCATTTAATCCCTTTTCTTTATTGTTCTTCCATCTCACTCACTGAGACTTCCTGATGTTGTGGTCAAGGGCGAGTTGAGGACCTGAAGGCACCCAATGCAGACAGAGGTGAGCAGGTTCTTTCAGCTGGGCAGCGCTCTGGGAGTCAGAGAAGCTCTTCACCCACGTCTCCTGAAGGACAAAAACAGTGGGGAGAAGCCTCTACACATCCTAAATGGGGTGGTGGTGGAGAATCAGACATCTGTCCTTCTCCATTCATTAAAAAAATGTATGTGTACTGATTCTGCTATGGCCATCCAATGTGCTGGGCAAGAGAAGAAAAGGGTGGGCAAGCAGAAAAGCAGACAAGGTGTCCGACCCTAGCACCTTGAGCTTCTTCAGGGCACAGTGACCAGACTTTCAGCTGGCAGATGCTCTCTAGGGAAGCACAGGCCCTGAGTGCAGGCAAGAAGACGGCCCAGGCACCTCAGAGTTCGGGACCCCGCCCACTCACCACTGGGCCCCGCCCACTGGAAGCGAGCCGGCGCAGCTCGGATCCCGCCCCAGCTTGGATCCCGCCCCTTCGGCGGCAGCAACAGCGGCTGCGCAGGACTCGGAGGGG